AATCAGGGTCAACAATCTGATCAGCTTTAGGGAGGAATGGTAGCCGAGAAAGGCGCTAGGCTGCGGGCTGTTGGATTAGCGACTTTCGGCCATGCTATGTCGCCTTTACGAAGTTCTTTTGGGTTCACAGGACCGGTCGGCGTAATCTGATGGTGGCCGCTACTGCCGTAGCCAACATGCCCTCTTCGAGGAATTTTGAATAGCCTGAGGGTACCTTGCAGATCACTCGGTAGGCCTCTCTGGCATTCACACGATGAACTGAGTCTATCACTTGCATAGAATGGAACTGTTGATATCCTTTATTTGGCCCTAATCATGCTGGAATGTGTTACGATACAACTGTACAGGGCTGACGAGCATTAATCGAAAACAAACGTACATTCGCCTATTCATCAACGGAACTTCTCGCAAATTTAAAACACACCATTTTATTAAACAGATTTTAGGAAGGTCAGGTAGCTGACTGAATGACAGCTTTTGCTTCACTCTCGTAAATCCAGACTGGAAGTTGCATTCCTGTGTGTGAGAGCTGTTATATTTCAAATTGCGTTCTCACCGCTTGTTTGATGTTGCGCCATCCGCCTCCTTGTAAACGCCAAATACATTGCGGACATGTGTACTTCTTAAAATGGTTTCCTTTTGTTTGTCAGTAACGCATTCGCTCTCGTTTCCTCAATCACCTCACCTCCCTCTCTCTGCCTCGTCTGTCATGCCTTTTTTCTTTAAACTGCAGTTTCCTTTTGTATTTACGAACGCCACGGGCATTTGCCGATTGATGCTGTGATGGCCACTACTACTAATGCTACTACTACTACTTCTATTATTACCGCCGCCACCACCACGGCTACGTTTATCGCCGTCACTGTCTGCAGCATTATCATTATCGTAGTGACCTGTACCACATCGTCATCACCTGATCGTAGTTCTTTATCACTTGGAGTTTGAAAAGTAAACTGTTGTAACACCATACTTATCACCTTTTAGGTCAGATTGTTACTTCGTTTTGTTAATCTTCCTAGGCTCCTGCTGGATCATGGCGCAGACGTGGGGATTGCTAGTTTCGACATGGAGCTGCCCATTGACGTCGCTCAGGACAAGGACACGCAAGCCATTCTCCGAGAAGCCATGGAAAAGCAGAAAGTGGATGCCTCCGCCGCGCGTAAGGCCGAGGAGCAACAGATGTTGGATGATGCAAACACGTGGCTCAAGACCGGCCAGTACCCGTAAGTGAATATTGAAACAGTCACAGCCCTTGCAGAATCCAAAGCCGACGAACGCACATTTTTAGTCGTCTAACCGGTACTGTGATATGCCAAAACCTCTCAGATCACCAGTAGCAAGAGCGACGAGGAAGACTGTTAAGGACTTATGATCTAGTTTTAAAGTCAGAGACAGGAAAGGCGGGGTATGCTGGTGTTTCGTCGCTATAACGCGACGTTTAAGGATACGGGTGATGGCAGTTTGTCCATCGATTTCGATGAAGTCAACCATTTGCTCAAAGCGTAGGGATGGTGACTGTAGTCATATATAGTGAAAGTAGACGCGCAGCCATCTATCACACTGGACCTTCACCCCGCTTGAGCCGGTGACAGGGCAGAGTCACCTGGCTGTGTCATCCTAGTGATTAACAAAACCTTATTACGTAATAGCTCGAGTTTTGCCATGCCTTTATGTCGCATGGTGCCATTTGTCGTTATCAGGCGGACTGTTTGACTTGCTGCAGTATCCAACTCTATCTTGAGGTTTGGGGGAGATCTCCTGTCTAATAGGAGAGCAGTCTGCTCCATAATCAACTTACATTGCTATCTCCTATAACTGTGTCAGTAGCTGAGTAATAAGTAATAAGCAGAGCAGATAGGAATATGAGCTTACCACCTTTTGTCGTCTTCATCTGGTGATTGTGTTAGACAACCAGGGTTATTCTGCGAGCATGTCGTCTCTGTACGGAGTTGCAGATCAGCAAATACAAGCAGGCGGGTTTTGTCTGACTGCCCGGCAGATTCGTGGTTCTTACGAGTAATGTCGGATAGGGGGCGTGCGGGGTTATTGGTGCTGCTCAAGCTTATACTACAGTAATCAAAAGACTTGAACGAATTCCTGTAAGGAATAGCCGTTATAGCCGTCACCCCCTACATTGGGGTTATAACCAAATGGTTGAGATCTGAGGCTTATTCACTGCTGCACCACATAGTGCCTTCGTTGTAAAATTTTTGTATAAATTACAGTTTTTTATGTCCCCCATTAGCTACAGTAGGTCGGTATGCCGGCACTTGCGAAAGAGAGATTATCACTCGCAAGCTGGTATTAAGTTTGGTTGTAATACTGATTATCCTGCAGCCTAATCCCAAGTGAGGTCAGGATGCCGGCTTTTTAACGAGCTTCTTTCTGACCGCTTACAAGAAGTATATTCTGCGAGAAAATGGATACTAAGATGTAGAATGCATTTACCACATTGATTTTGACTGTCCTTTGACTACCTGTTCTAGAAAACATTCCCAAATGTATTCTTTCTTGGACCCGTAAAGTAGTAAAAAAACACCCTTTTTCAAATTTTACATTTCAAAAGCTAAATATTTTGGTTTTACAGAATTATCTGACTTGATAAATGCCTTGACTGTGCGCTGATTCGTTGCGTCTGCAATTAACATCTGGCCTTGCGGTGTTGGTATAAGATGATGTAGTGGCCTGTCTGTTCCCCAAGTGGCGATTTGCTTTGGCTAAATTTAGTCTCATCACCGAATACGGATTTTTTACGGCCGTGAAATATTCATTCACAACGCATCGTATCCATTAATTCATTAATGCTGCCTGTAATATAGGCAGCATGATCCATATCTACTGCAAAATTTTATGAAAATTATGTGACCTTTTCCGCATAGCGCAGAGAAATGCGTCGTTTTCCTTAGACATGATATACACGGCATGCAGTTTGGAAACCTTGGATTCAGATGTAACAGCTTCAAATTATTCGGCCATTTAGAAACTTTTTACAATCGAATGATATTCTTTCTTTAAGTAAACATTTAAAGAAAGCGTAACTTGCTATCAGACGAGTACAAGAAAGCATGATTTTGTGAATTTTTTCTATAAAATATATTTGAATTTATAACAGCAGTGAAAATCAACGAGTTAAATAAATACTACTTAAGTAGCCTATTTTCACAGCTCTGCGTTAAGTCTTCTAACCAGGCCACCTCCAGCTTTGACAGTCCGCAGACATCAGTCCGGAATCGCCGAGGCATCCCCCCAGAAACTGGGCCATTGTTTTGACAACGCTTATTTCCCCTCTCCAAACCGTTTTCACACACAAAGAATAATGACTCTCGTTCACTCTGACCTTAGACTCGACTTGCGTTCAGCGTCTTTGCAGTGCTGAATCATATCCAACGTCGATGGCTTTTTCAGGTCCTACAGTCATTTTATAGAATCTGATTGAAGGAGCTCGATAATTACGATTAGCTCCCACAGACAACGTTGACCTGAAAACGCAGGACACCTTAAGAGTCTGCGTAAGGGCTTCTAATGGTCTGATTGAAATCGCAGAGAATGGACAGGCAGGTCGATCTGCCAGCAAATAGCAGAGTCCTTGCTTTTGCCTATCACGTGCAGTAGGCCTAGAGGAAGTGGCAAGAAAAAAAGATTCCGATACCGAACATAGTCGCCGGAAGCTCCCAATGCTCTCCCATGCGTCCTCTCTGCTGACGTGCACTTGCGGCTTTCGTTGTGACCCTACTGGACAACTTTGCACCCACTGCATCGTCAACAACACTAACGTAGTTACTTCCTGTGTTTAAGAACCACGAATGTCGACGACGAAAGCACGTTTAGTGCCCTGGTCAGGCGTTTCCATGCCCGCCTCTGACAGTGCCTCTCATCACAATTTCATCACCACAGCCCGCAATACTTCAGCCTCGGTAGCCAAACTACATCTCGGACAGCAGACCGCCATGCAACAACGAACAGACTGGACGGACTACCCACTACTGAGATCTCGGTGGTTCCAGTCTTAGGTGCTATGGATGCAGTTTTTAACACTGTAGTTGCGAGGCCTGGGCTCGCGTCTTTTGCTCTTCCTATTATTTACGGCACTTTCCCATCAGACACAACACAACACAATGCTCAGCTTTTAATTTCCTTAGAAGTTAATTTCTGATCGCGGCCCCGGTTTCAAATCTCGAGGGTTTCAACCCTTGAGATGGAGTATGACTGGCTGATGACGGCTAACAAGCCAGAAATGTCCACTCTGGTCTCCCTTTGCTTTGTCGGATCCATTTCATGCATCAGTATGTTTGAAGTCTATAGACCTAGACCGAAATTGTAAGTGCATATTTGGGCTGAAACCTGTCAACCGCTGCGTAATATACACTTTCTGCCAGCGAACGGACGGACAGATAGTAGTAGTATATATTACTGTTCTCCCTTACTTACCGGTCTATCGACCAGAAAGCAAACAAGGAAAGCTGGCGAACCCACTGAAAAATTTCAGTTTTGACAGCTTGTAAATATTACGCGCAGCGGCCGACGGACTTCGGCCCCAATATTTCCATCAAATTTCGACCTTTGCCTATGGACCTTGAATAGACTGATCTAGTCCAAGTTCAACATTTAATTCCTGAGGAAAGTAGAAAGCTGAAATGCCAAAACTGGAGTATCTAGCAGAAAAGAACTTCTGGAGGACA